ATGGATGTTTATTATGTATTTCTATATAAATATACTTATATATGTACAGTATATGTATTCTATCCGTTAACCTATCCCATAACACAAGCCTTATAGTGCTTGCTTTGGGGCTAGGCTAATTGGTGTGAATGTAGGAAATATTTATTTATTTATAAATATTGTAGCTAAAAAGAACTTATGGATATTTTAAGGAAATATTAAGACATCTTATCATACACATACATATTATTAATATTATTCCTCGAAGTTATATTCCAAGTTATTTTCTTCTTTTTAGTGGTCCCGTTTTTACGAAGTCAGTTTTTATATTTGTTTAAAAAGTTATAATTTTCCGATTGGTGTAACACCCCAACCCTTTCTCATTAGTCTCCTTACTCATTAGTGATTAGCCATCGAAACCTCAATCAGCAAAGCAAAATTGGTCAGTTTTAGATGGCTTGATCTGCTGGTGATTGTACTTTGAAAGTCAGCCTTGTTTTCATCCTGTCTTTATATGTTCAGAATGTTTACATTTCCATGTCTATGTCCCCTCTCATTACCTCTGGGAGATCGTACTTCCGGCTAAAAGAAACTCATTAAAACTTTTTTCCCTACTATAAAAATAAGAGATATGTACCTATCTCATGCAAAACAGAGGTCTCGTCGTCCCCACAACATAAATAAAACTTTATTCATTTCAAACTTGACAGATAATTGGCACCTTCATTGAACATCTGATGAATATTTATCCCGCGGAGAGCGATGAACGACATGGCTGATCGGTATTCGGTAACCTCCTTATTGAATGGCGCCTTACGTTTTACATTAAATATGTATCTGACGATTTGTGTGTTATCATAAATCCATACTTCCATGTGCATACTAATATTATAAATCCGGAAATTACCTTATCTGTTATTATGCCTACACAGCGGAACCGCTAAACCGATTTTGGATAATTTTAATCCCCTCTCTTAAATTTGTTCGTTTCCGAGGTCAAAAGATTATTTTAGAAATAAAACAAGCCAATGGAATATATAAACTTGAAAAGGGTAAAATAGCTAGTAATAGCATTTGTCTAGAGCATGTATGTATATATTTGTCAAGCATTCGCAATTTAAATGAGCTATTAAAGCCTAAGGGAGCTAAAGTTGTATGAAAGTCCCATTGATTCATTATGACATTTAAATTTGGAACGCCAAAATGGCAACAAAAACTTCAATGAAAAGTAGTTTCGAAAAAAACCAAGGTTGTTTAAGGCATACAACATATTGTATGTCTTAGCTATTAACTTGTGGTTTGCTTACGGAACTAAATATCGAAAGAAAAATCGGCCTTCCCTAAAAATATAGTACATCTCAATGTAATTTTTAAATTTCTACTCGATACCTCCACTTGTTACCATTATAAAGAGTTATGACAGACAGACATATAAACGGCTGTATTTTTTATTACGCTAATTTAGAAGTTAGATTTTTTACAGCTTGAAGTGACCGTAGATTTTTGGATATATATGGTTTAAATTTCAACTAAATACCTCTACGCGTTCCCAAGATAAAGGGTCTTGACAGACAGATGGACAAACAGCAAAATGATCCTATAGGAGTTTCCTATTTTGCTTTTGAGGTAAGGAACCCTTAAAATCTGTGATTTTTTATCATTTAATAAAATAAACTGAAAAAAGTTCCAATGATAGCAACTCTGATATAAAAACAGAAGCTCTAAACAGTACTTATTTTCAAGATTCTGCCCGAAAAATCCAAAGATCTATTAATACAAGTTTCTGAAGAGTTTAGAAAATGGAAAAATAGTAATCGAGCGACGTCAGTTAAATAACTACTGCTATTGTACTTTTAACATTTAATACATTAAATTCCCATAACTGGACTAATAATTCTAATATTAAATTAATTAAATTTATTTTTAATTCATACTTACTTTTTTATTTAATCTCGCAGTAGGTATATAAGGTAGAGTATGCTCTTCGGGGATAAACTTGTATTCAACTTGCGCAAAGTTTAGTCATGGGCAGACGTATAAGTCTGTCCAAGTCTACGAAGCGAAAGATATGTCCTTCGCTTCATTCAGGATTCTTACCATAATTAATGACTACAGAATCCTTTATTTTGCTCAGAATCCAATATGCAATCCGTGACATTATAGTATACACTGTTTTAATTCCTTCGTGCCTAATCTACTTCTTTGACGACCTCCGTAGCCGAGTAGTTTGTACGCCGGGTTTCATGGTGTCGCTGACTCGAGAGGTCCCGGGTTCGAATCCCGGTGGGGGCAGATGTTTGTGTGATGAATACGAGCATTTGTACTCCAGTCATGGATGTTTAATATGTATTTCTATATAAATATACTTATATATGTACAGTATATGTATTCTATCCGTTACCCTATCCCATAACACAAGCCTTATAGTGCTTGCTTTGGGGCTAGGCTAATTGGTGTGAGTGTTGGAAGTATTTATTATTATTATATTACTATTTTATATTAAAGGGGGACTACGAGCAGATGGCTAACATTTTTTTTACGCAGGCAAAACCTCTATTTACAGACGTTGGCGCCCTTAAGGGACACACCAACGAACGGACCTCACACCTGGTCTCTCGCAAGTTTCACGGGTGCGAAACGGAGAAGCCGTTAAGCAGTCCGCGCGGTTTACGAACGCTTCCAGCATACCATCCGCTAAAAACCCTGCCAATACCCTCTACGCTGTTAAGTGCGGAACCGCAAGGTCCCCGTTGAGGGATTTCACCTGATAGTGATTGCCATCACCTTAGACATTTGCAACACTATAAGCATCGCGAATGCGATGCCAGGAATATGAGTTTTCGGGTTGCTTTGTTCAGAAAAACTGCTACACTTTCAACTTTGAAAGACTAAAAACTGTAACTTGCGTTTGTGATTTGTCTTTATGAAATGCTTTATTATCTTTGTTCATGTGACCTATTGAAAACCATTTAATAAACATGCAAAAATTTCTTATTGCAACATAAAAGCTATAAATACCATTGCATATGATTTAATATTATGTAGTGAAAATAGATTTCTACAAGAAACAAGGGAGATAAGAGTGATTGTTAACGTCGAGAAAAAAAATGTCTAAATACGATAAAATAAATAATCATATTTTGTAATTATAACTTTCGGAGGTATTTAAATAGTTGTGTCAATTTTACCATGGAAGATTGCATCGCATGACAGAACTCCACCAGAATCAATTTATAAGAATCCAAACTATACAAATGTAGCTGTTAAGAACGAAAATTGAAAGATTCAACATTGAGTTATCAACAAAAATTACAACAATAAATAGAAGCAATGAAAGGAAATCTATAATTATGTGTGCTACTTGTTAGTTAATTCATTGTGAGCCAACGCATCCTGAGTGTACTGGCCAAATTGAATATTTAAACCGAATTCGATATTAATTATCTTTTAGGGAATTATAAGTTTGCTGTGATCGGTGCGGTTAATAATCATGAATGTGTTGTGTTTCTTATTATATCTATCGATATTGTTACACGTCAAGGGTGACCTATTTGATAGATATAGCGGTGAAAAAAAAGAAAACTTAAAAAAAATCGATAAGAGTGAAACTAACAGGTTGGTTCTTATTTCTTAATATTTATGAAGTGTTTGTGTTTGAGATCACCTATATTAACTACTCCATATGAATATCTTTGCTGTGTAATTTTTTCATCAACAAGTCTGCATTAAATATTCATGCAAGCTATTAAAATAAAAGTTTCTGTACATTCTAAGGTTTAAAGTATTAAAAGGATTTTTATTATTCACTAATTTTTTGGTACATTGGCGTTGGCATAAATCTCATAAAACTTAAATGTTTTTCTTATTATGTTTTCATCAAAATAGCTTAATGCAAATTTTGACAAGCAACTTCTTGATTTTACCAGTCTAACACTAGCAGGTAAATCACGAATAATAGGTATAACAAAGAAATATTCATTTTAAAATTAACTGGAACATAGCAATGGCCATATTCTTTTATTGTGATTACATTTCGATAGCTGCGGAAAACCGCAATGCGTGCAATGCACCGTTCACTATGAAACGGTTATTATGAAAACTCAGCGTTACAAATATCGAGTGGGCAAATCAGGCCGAATGGCGAATGTCTATGTTTGCAAAAGTACATGTTATATTTCGTTCAAATACTACATTTCTTTCTTCAATTACTCTTGTATGCGGTGAAATAGTAAAACGCACTCAGTAACACTGAATTTAATAAAAAACTTAGTAAAAACTATATAACAATTACTAAATGCTTAGTATTATTCTCGACTCGATATAAAATCAAATTAAAAATGCGTATATAATAAGTCGAATAACAAGTTTATTACTTTTAATTATTTTTTCAAGATTAATGATCAAATAATAAAGCAAATATATAAACTTACTAGCTGTGCCCCGCGGTGTCACCCGCGGTTTATTAGGGTTATTGTTCCGCAGTAAAACGTAACCCATATATTAATCCAGGGTGTCGGCTAACTCCATGCCAAATTTTATTAAAATCGCTCCAGCCGTTTAGACGTGAAAAAGTAACAAACATACACACTCACAAACTATCGGTTTTATAATATTACTAGAGGTCGCCCATGACTTCGTCTGCATTAACTTAGTTTCTTGAAAATCCCTCTGGAACCTAACATTTTTTCAGGATAAAAGTAGCCTATGTGTTAATCTTGGGTGTCAGCTAACTCCATACCAAATTTTATTAAAATCGCTCCAGCCGTTTAGACGTGAAGAAGTAACAAACATACACCCTCACATACTCACAAACTTTCGCCTTCATAATATTAGTGTGATAGTGTGATTTTTTTAATTTCATACTTAGTACACACTGGATAAAACAAAACAGAATTTAGTGATTTGTAATGTACAAGGGAACTGCATATTTTTTACTGAAATTACTTAGTTTAAAAAACAATCATTGAGTTGTGCGCGTAAATAATAAGGAATAAACATTTAAATGACCTTTTAAGCTAATATACTGTAATAGATACACTAAATCCCTAGATCCTGTACGATAGACGTGAAGCCTTGCTTACCTTTCGAGGGCAGCAGGGTAGATGGCACATGTAACAACTACAAGTACCCCGCCAGAGGGTCTGCCAGGGGCCCGTACCTGCGTCTTCTGAAACCTGATTATAGTGTCGGTAAGTAGAGATCATACATAGAATCACGGACTGTCCCCGTAGCAAAATATCACAATATAATTGACTATGGACGGAATAGGGAGATTGGGCCTTGACCCACCACGCGGGCCCAGTGCGGATTGGCGGGTGCTAACGACTGAAGATGCAGCCGGGACCAACGGCTTAACGTGCCTTCCGAAGCACGGAGGAACTCGAGATAGAAGATTTTTGGTCACCCATTCAAAAAGTTGCTTAAGTTCAACGATCGCAGCCGAACGCCCTAACAACCTGCGCCGTCAAACTCCTCATAAAGAAGGCCTGTGCCCCAGCAGTGGGGACATTAATAGGCTGATGATGATAATAATAATTTACTACCCTTAGCACGAACCAATATCGGATTCGAATAGTTGAATTTGACTTGATACTCATCCGAAGGATAGGTCGAGATAGAATTCAACTGTTGTAATTCAATATTGTTTTGTCCTAAGAAAACACATGTTTTGTAAAAACAAATAATGGTGATCATAACGAAACAACAACAATTTCTGAAGTAACTTACCTCGTGTGCGTTGATAGGCCTTTGCAAGTTACGCCAATAGTTTAGTTATAGCTATTGGGTTCTTTATAATAGTTTCTATTCTATCGACATAATATGGCAGCTGACGGCGGGCCACAATAACATGAGAGAAAATTAACAAATTTTAATATATTCTCTAATCCTCATCAACAAAATCCATGGTTTAATGACTTTACATCAATCGAAGGGAAACTTGTCCAATTTTCACTGTACGCGATAGTATCGCTGCTGATGGCGAGCTAATCAGTGGTCCATTAAAACACTTACGAAGAGCACATAAGGTAGTTTTGCAAGGTCGTGCGTGCCAATTTCCTCACTCAACCCTTTTCTGTCAGTGTATAAATTCCTTGGTTAAGTCACAACCATAGTTAGTTAACGTTACCACGGAATGTAATTTTTTCTCAATTAACTATGGATCTTATTACATGCAGGATACATCTCAAAGTCAAACAAAGTTTATGTAAATTTTCGATATCTAGACAATACAAACAGGCACTAAAATTAGCAAGCCATTTTCCCATCCCATCCATTTCCGTTCATTTGTAAATGGTCGAGATCGGGGTTTCAAATTACAAGTATTCGTGTGGCGAAAAACAGCGCACTGATTGATCGATAAAGTAGTTTAAAGATTTTATTTGACCAGCTTCTAGCCCGTAGACTTAGCCCAGTCAAAGATATTTTGAATAAAACTATCGACTGTTTAGGTTTTACATTTCGCATATAGACATAAGGTACCTACTCTGAAGAAATGCATATTTTATAACAAACGTGAATATTTCTCGGGAAAAGTAAAAATATTCCGCATGACAAGGAGCTGTGAAAAATGACGACTGAAGCTCTCAGTACCACTACAACATAGATAGTACAGAGGGTAATCTCATGTATGTACTTCACTTATCATACCTACGTAAGACGGTCACTCTAGAATTATCAACTTTGGCTTGTGTACAAAAAAATGGTGGTAGTGGCACTCCTTCATATCTTGTAGTTTGATTTATTATCGAGAATAAAAACAATAGTAACTAAAGTATTTAAATTTAAATGAGGGTTCGACTCCCGTCTGCTGCCTGGTCCGCGTGGATTTTTTTCTAGTTATGTTTTCTTTAGATTTAAACATCAAGCAGTTACATGCTTTAAAAATAAAATAAAAATTATAACTTAAATGATTTTGTTATTTAGGTACAAATAAAAAAAACGACAATGCACCGTTTTATGATGAATTCAAACAATCATCCACTGAACAGTTATAATAAATATTTTTGTTACTCCATATCTGCAAAAAAAAGATCATAGAAAGGTATCTCAAGTGAACGGAACTCGCGCTCGTACTGGTTCCAAGCGGTCCGAGATATCGTGTCCGTGAGCGGTGTCTGTGTGTACGTTGTATGAGCGCACTTTTTATATGGATTACCTTCTGTACTTTCTATTTTGTGGTACCACTTAGAGGCAATAGTGCTATATCATCCTTCCTTACATTATCTTGCGCGCAAGAAAATCCGTGTAGTTTTCAGAAGTGTGAAATAAAGTCTTAAAAATATTCCCACGTCTCTCACTCTTACCATACCAAAAGTTTCCATAGACTTATCATTTAAAATTATGCCAAAATAGTTTTAAACATTTTCCATACAAGTAACAGTAACTACTGCATTCGTACCATAGTAGGGATCTTGTTTAAAGAGGCCGAAGTACGACCTTTGAGAGCTCCGGAATCGCATCGTCATCGTCAAATTTTGGGATGGAAGGAGCCAGTTTGTTCTTACGTCTGGTAATGGCGCTGCTTATTTTTAATAAAAACTTTGACGATGCGATACGATGACGGAGCTGCCAAAGTTTGTGCTTGGGCATCTGTTTCATTATTCTTTACTTTGTTAACCAGTTTCATTGCAATACTTCAAAACAACGAGTGCATTATTATACGCGAGTCTTCAACACCAGATCAGTGGTGTAGTATTACGATTCATTGTCATAGTACTTCATTGTTCAACTCGACTGAAATGTAAGTTCACTACGAATTGGCCGCCCCTCTAACCGCACCGCGCTCATAGACAGACCCTATTAGTCGACGCTATTGGTCGAATATACCAGTTGATGTGCCTATGATTGGCCCGTGACATATTTTGAAATTCCCTCCGATTCCGTTGGCCTAAACACGTCTTAGAGTACCCCGACGACGAAATCACTCGCGCCAACGCACCTCCGACTCCTCCCACACAGGCCACAAACACCAACACTACACAGCTAGCATACTTGCACACTAGCTTAGCATTAGGCAGACACCGCACCCGTAGGATAAGAGTGCGAAGACCCGGTCTACACACGACACGCTATACTAGGTACAGGTACGTACCTGGGCGTTTTTCCCCGCCCCCCATGACAACGATTAACTAGAGCTGAGGTCCAAGTCTCAGAGACGCCCTTTAGTTGAGCAGACCACCTCAGGTTTTAGTGGTCTAGAGGCTTCAGACAGAGAGGAGACGTCCCCCGTGGGGAGATGCCATAGACACTCAATAAAATAAAAATACACTTTGAAATGGTCATCGACGGTCAACTCGAAGCAAACGGGTAGTAATTATCGTAATGAGTGTTCAATGAAATTCAAACACCTGTCGAATTTTCAGATGGCGGTATTCGCAAGGACAGAAACGGGAAGCCTCTCCCGTCAGCCAGGAAGGTTAGAACGGAGCTGCATTCCACCGGCCGCGTTGTGGACCCAGTACACTTCACTACAGCTGCTGTGACATTCCTAGACTTCATCAACAGGGACATTAGCTCCTTGAATGGAATATGTGAGCGTATATATAAGCATATTTTATTAGCACCTCAGTCGATATTTCTCTTGTCTTTAATGCTAGGATATTGAGAATGAGCCATGACTGACCACACGGGCCTGGTGTGATTGATGGAAGACTACCAACCACCAGGACTCGAAGGGTAGAGACCCATTCCAAAAGTTGGTTATCTTTAATATTTTTCATTGCAAATGGCGGACTTAATGCCAGTATGGCATTCTCTACCATTATTATCACCATCACCAGCCTATTAATGTCCTCACTGCTGGGTCACAAGCCTTCCCTATGGATGGAATAGAGAGATTGACCATGACCCACCCACACAGGATCAACGCGGAATGGTGGGTGCTAATGACTGCAGATGGAGCCGCGGCCAACGGCTTAATGTGCCTTCCAAAGCACGGAAGAGCTAGAGATAATAAGGTTTAGCCACCCATCTAATGACCGACCATTGGGAAACTTGCTTAGCTTCCACGATAGCAGGCCGAACGCGCTATTCACCTGCACCATCAAGCTCCTCTACCAGCCAACCAGAAAGAACTTATACATAACTTACCATAGGTCTTGTGAAAAGTCAAAAGACCTATGGCAAGACATTTGATTTTGTTCCTACAATCTTTTGCAGTGGATTATATAAGAAAAAAGCAAAGCTGTTGCGAGGTAAATGGGAAATCTGACTACCCATGTGAACCGATTCATGTGCCCGAAGAAGATCCCTATTTACGAGTAACAGACATCCGTTGTATGAACTTCTCTCGTGCTGAAACTTTCTCAGATGCGGGTTGCATTTCTAAAGAAAAATATCCTGAGCAGGTAAGTTACATTTTATGATAAAGAGAAATTTCACCGTAAGCCCTAATCTAAGTAATTAAGTGTGAAAAGCAATGATTATACATGGTCAATTTTGAGTTACCTGAGAAACTTAAAAATTGTGTAAATAAAAACAGTGAGTAAAAACTGTTACAAACAATAAATTCACAACACCCCCATACAAAAATATTGATTTATAACGTTTACAAAATTTCCTTTAAACGGCGCACATTTGTATTTTAACAAACCCAATATGGAATTATTATCCCACCAAAGCATTTCCATGCCAAGTGCTTGCAAGACGAGACCATATGACACGCACTGTCAAAAAGTTATTAGTTCTCATGTACAGCCAAGATTCTAACTCTACAAGGCCTAACTTTACAAACTCTACACTTTATTCAAAATATGTGGCTTAGCTATTTCGCTACATTCACATTGGCGTCGGGTGAAAAATTAATTCACTGTTCATCTTGTAGTAAGCAACTGTTTGTGGTACTGGCACCAGCGCCGGCGTTGTGTGATTGGCTTCATAGTGCCCCATACAAGACTGCCGACCGGACTGCCCAGATTGATGTCGGGCTTAGCTCCGTCTCGTGGCCATGAGCCCTAAAGGCAAAAGGTTGACAAATTGAAATTCCCGGTAAAGTAAGAAATCTTTTCGAGTAGGCGGTGATTTATCAAGATTATTTCCAGAAACATAATTTTAACTATGGATGACGAATATGTCAAATAATGGTTATATTGTTTACATCAAGTTCGGTTCTAACAAAATTAATTAATAAGACGTAAATTATAAATTTCTATATATAGAACAAAATTCACGTTTCGGCGAATTTTCTATTCATAACCGTATCTGACATAACATTAATCTAGCTCACCTTTTGTGACCATCAACAACAGCACGACTTTATGGAGTTCTAAAAATTAACTATCGAGTATTCGGCAGAAGTGCTTTTGTCGAAAGATAATTAATTGGTACTCAATTCTCCGACCAAAATAAACATGAAATATTTTTCATAGACAGAAATTGAAATCGAATTATTCGTCTTAACAATAAGTTTATAAACTACGTCCGAATATTGGATGGATTTTAAAGAGTCTCGCAACAAACTCTACACACAACGTACCTACAGTTTAAATAATTTTAGTATCAAAATAACTTTAGAAGTTTGCAGATATACACTTCAATCGCCTGCCATAAGATCTTTTACTCTTCTTATGCCTTGTTATAAGTGCGGAAGTAAAATTCAACAACATACAATCGTTTTACGCATAGAATATTCGACAGCTTGTTTTAATTTCAATAAAATAAAGTTTACAAACTGCGATTGCATAATGTTTCCGTGCCTCATTTCTATTTTCTTTCAGGCTAAGTTATCGAGTGATCTTTTACTTTTAATAATAATTGTTTCAGATCTGGGCGATTCTCACACCGTCATATTTTTTTTTATCTTGGGTTACGATCTCTCACATACGAGGTTTCCGAGCAATGATTTGGATATTTTTTACAAAAAATGAAAACATCACACGTACATGATAGTCTATTAATGTCTCCGATATTGATACATATAGCGAGAACGGTACCCTTAGCATGAAACAATATCGAATTCGTAACGATTGCTAGTACAAAATGTCATCGTCAAATGTGTACTGATTTTTAGTTCTCGTTACGTCCGTTATGGCGCTGCTGCTCAATTTTCCATATAACATTTGACAATGACATTTTGGACTCGCAAACTATTCGAATTCGATAATGGTTCGTATTTAGGGTACGGACCATAAGGACCACTTCCCACGCGTTCGAAGGTTCAGTGCAAATCGGTGGGTGTCAACGACTGCAGGTAACATCGACTGTACTTACGGCTTATAATTACGGCTTATAATATGTGCCTTTCGAAGCAAAGAGGAACTCGAGGTTCTCTGTGAGCTCGAGATAATTTATTCATTTCTGTAAAAGGCTTGACGCCTTCCTTGTCCACCGGAACATGGGATGAGGATATCCGTGAACTTTCACCCAGCTCAAGAGCTCAATGAAATGAGCAGGGCCTTATCCAGTAAAAACTAGAAAATACTCTTACACCGGTCAACAAGGACCACAGCCCCGAAAATGCGTGTCGGGAGTGCGGGATCCTGTGACGGAAACTTATATATAGCGAAAATTGCTTTATGACTATTAATAACTGTTCTAGATTAATTTCCAAACTCCTATTTTGGATCTTTCAACTGTATACGGAGAAGACGAAGAAGCTCTTAAGAAAATGAGAAAGTACGAACATGGTCTTCTAAAAGCAGAGATGAGAATGAATAGAGAAGTACCTCTAAATGAGACCAGAGATGTCTGCTTCCAGAATAGGAAGGACAACCCTGTTTGTTACAAATTCGGTTAGTTAGATTTCTTATCTAAGCTTTCCTACACAAATCACCTTAGCTGAGAGTAAAATTTTTCTGTGAATGGAAACTTACATTAAACTATAAGCCATTCGAAATGCAGCCATAACTAACTCAACGAACACAAACGTTGACATATTAATTTGTGATATTAACTTTTATCATCAATCCGATGATGTCCACCCTAGAGTTACTTAACCTCGGCAGTACTTTAAGTCATCACTCGGCATTTAGATTCTAAAATAATAGGAATGATGATTTACTTTATTTTCTTATCAAAGGTATTCAAGTAGATTATCAAAAAGTATAGAACACGTATTTTTTCATTTTTAACATATGAAAACATTACAGAGATATCTTTTTGTAATGTCCGTATCAAGGACAGTTTTTTGTTTAGAAGTGACACCACGGGCTTGGAAGTGCTTTATCTTTGCAATTTTTTGGTGAATTGACAAAAGAAAAAAAAGTTTCTTTTATTTTTGATAATCCAATTGACGGACTTAATAGAATTTCATTTAATTTAGCCCGTTATCATCCCTAACGTTGGTGGTTAAGTGCAAGATTATCTCAGATGCTAAAAAGATGTTTTCACAATTTGTTTGCACAATATCGAACGATAATTTAAATTTCTTTAAGGTATTCCGGAAATTGGCAATTTCGATATAAGAACGACGACCTTCACTATATTCTACGTGAAACAACACAACCGGATCGCGGAGGTCTTACGTGATCTGAACCCTTGTTGGAAAGATGACAAGCTCTTCAAGGTATCACGACAAATCAATATTGCCTCTGCTGCCAATGTATTTTTGTACGAGCTTCTACCATTGTTATTAGGTGAGTTTATTTAAGCGTACGACTTTTTTTTTGAAAGTGTGACTTAAATATGATAGATATAAAAAAAAATCTTTAAAAAAACATTCGTCGTTTACATCGGTCGTGAGCAGACGTGTTCTGAGTTAATATTTATTTTTCCAACTTAATAATTATTCGAAATTAGTTCCTTTATTTAAGAACTAAGAGCATATATTGGCTCAACACCAACTGCATAAATTGTGTAGTAATTCCTTATCGGTGTTGACTGAATCCATAGACCTACATCTGCACAGAAATGTTACGATCACCGAAGCAAACATCAAGTTCAATACCGGATCTGTCTCAATTAAAGAAAATGGAAGCAGAGCCTAGTTTAACTATGAAAAAGCGAAAGCACAGCGAAGATTACACCGAAGCTTTTAATAAATTTTCCGATAGAATGATGGCATCACTGAATAACTGGAAGTCAGAAATTAGCAGGGATAACTCTCTGTTACATGAAAGCCTCAACATGCTAAAGGAGAACATTGGAAACTTAAGTCAAACTTCACAAGAACTGAAGACTGAAATGCAGAGTATACGATCGGAATATTCTGACATTAAAAACTCTGTGCAATTACTTAATACCAAATTTGCAGGCTTAGAGAGTGAAATAAGTGATATGCAAGATTCCGTTCAGTTCACTAGTGACCAACAAGATGATATCATTAAAAAAGTTGAGTTCCTCTCGGATAACACTAAAAAGATTGAAAAGTTTAGCAGTGAACTGGAAGAATTGAAGAGACAGAACCGCCAATTGAAGCTTGAATTGAACATTAATGAGCAGAGAGACAGATTGATGAACTTAGAGATAGTGGGAGTGCCCGAAGTAAAAGATGAAGACTTAGCGGTTATTATGGCACTGATAGCTAACAAGATTGATTTAGAAATGTCCGCAGCTGATATCATACAAATAAACAGAGTAACGCCAAAAGTCAAGATTCAAGGACGGCCTAGAGTTATCATTGCCAAGTTAAGATCACGCCTACTCCGCGACAATTTTATCTCACGAGCCCGCAAAAACCGCTTATCAACGGAAGATTTAAGTTTACCTGGTGCCCCCAAACCTATATACATAAATGAACACTTAACGGTTTCTAACAAAATGCTATTGCAGAAGTGTAAAGAACTTGCTAAATCAAAAGAGTATCAGTACGTGTGGTCGAAATATGGAAAAATTTATATACGGAAAGACGACACATGCCCGGCGGTTTTTATTGCCTCGGAAGAAGACTTCAAAAAATTTGTGTAGTATGGTTCAGATGTTATGTTTTAAGTTACAGTTTTATTTTTATTTCTATATGCTTTTCCATGTCACTGTCGTGTTTAAATCTTGTCACCTCTGTGCAACCGTTATACTCTGTGGCGACCCGAGTAAACAACATTCTATGCTCAATACTGAACACTCAATCGAAACATGTGAGTATATTTTTGCCTTACACGCCAAACTCGTTCTATACAATCGTACTATTTTTATTATATCACGAATATGATGATAATTATATTAAAGAAAAACTATTTTCATTTTATATTTCGCGTCTATATACACAATCACTGCTGCCGATTTTATTCATTCCTAAATCAGTTTTAGTTATTTTCTTAAAATTTAATTTACTAACAATAAATAAAAAACAATCTGCCGTAATTTATAAAATTCTTTCAAAGATATTATTACTCAATTTATGCGATACAGCACCATATAACAGTAACGAATCAAATCACTCGCACATTCTTTTTACGTATACGCTGTGCAGTGGATGGCTTTTGTTACGATTACTAGTAACTTATTGCAGCCCGACGAGCCATTCGAGGTGTCGTACGTTTATCGCTTTTGTTAATTACCCCCAAAATTATTATGAAAAAACTGTGAAGCTAAAACTAATTGCAACCAGTTCGAATAATTTTATATATACTTTTTTAACCAATACTTGTTTTATATTTATATGTCGGTTTTATTATATAGCACCTCGGTCGAATAGCAAACATATTTATAGTCCGATTAATACTCATGACGGTATTTTATATCATATGTTAAAATATTTTAAGCTTTTAAACTTTGTTGGTTATCTGGTAGCTGAGCTTCGTGCGACAAAATGGCTTCAAAACTAACAGTTTTATCAGAATGTTCGCGGGTTAAGAACAAAGTGTTTGCAATTTAAACAGAGTTTAAGGCTTCATAATTTTGACATAATCGTAATTACCGAGTCATGGTTACAAGATGGTTTCTTTGACGGTGAATTTTGTGACGGGGAGTACGATGTCTTCCGTAGGGACCGTGATCTTGACTTGAGTTGTAAATCTACAGGTGGCGGCGTACTGATTTTAGTTAAAAGTAACCTGGGAGCGCGACGGTCTAGCGAGCGCGAACCGCTCCCACCAGTCGAGATGCTTACAGTTTCGATACCTTCGCACGCGATTAACTCGTCGGCAGCACTTCACATAAGCGCTATATATATACCACCGCATCCTAATCGTATTACACAGGATATTAACTTAATTGTGGACTCATTAAACGAAGGTTTTAATTGCAATCTATGCGATAATCATTTGATACTCGGTGACTTCAATCTTCCACAAATTGAATGGAGTGCGAACAAACCCATCTTCGCACAACGTGGATGTATCGCGGTGCAAAAGGCAGGCGTTCACTTAATAAATAATCTATCCCTATTAGGCTTTTGTCAATACAATAATTTTACAAACTATGCGGGGAACGTACTAGATTTGGCATTTTCTAATTTACCTTTAGCAGTTGAAAAACATATACCTTTTGTTAAGGAAGATCGTTCCCATCCCCCTCTTTTGATTGAAATATTAGACGTGTCAGTTAAGCCATTGAAGGAATTAAACAGCTTAAAACGTAACTACAGAAAGGGAGACTATGTCAGCTTAAATAAGCACTTTACTGAAGAAGATTGGAATTCTATTTTGTCATCCCGTTCAGTCAATGAAGCAACAGATACCTTCTACAAAATTGTCTACGGTGCCATCAATAAATATGTCCCCTTTAGCAAGCAACATGGTTCAAATCGCTCGTATCCCACCTGGTACAGTAAGTCCCTAATTAATATTATAAAAGAGAAATCCAAGGCTCACGCTAGGTGGAAAAAGTACAGAAACCTATTGGACTATGATGAATTTTCTTTGTTACGTAAAAGACAGTGCCGAGTACGTGAAGCCTGCTTTCAAAGCTACATCAACAACGTTGAGCGCTCTGTTAAAACTTGTCCCAAAATGTTTTGGTCATATATAAAGTCACTTCGTGGAGGTTCTAATTATCCTCGGACTGTTATTGCAGGGTCAACTACACTCACAGATGGTTTTTTGATATGCGAAGCGTTTAGTGATTATTTTAAAAGTGTTTTCGGAGAACCTAACACTGCCACCCCGTCGTTTCAACAAACATCTACGAGCATCGATCATGCTTCTAAATTAAATATTCCTGTCGAAACAGTATCTAAAGCTTTATTCAACTTGGACTGCTCCAAGGGCGCTGGCAATGATAACATTCCTCCAATATTTTGGAAAAATTGCTCTAAAACATTGGCATCTCCACTAACAGTTATTTTTAATCGATCGCTATTTGAGGGCACTTTTCCCACTATTTGGAAAAAATCTCACATTATTCCGTTACACAAAAAAGGCTCCAAAACAAAGGTGGAAAACTACAGAGGAATTTCCATACTTAATACAATAAGTAAAGTCTTCGAGAAAATTGTGTACGCAGCGATTTACCCTGTTATCTACAAAGGATTATCAGACCGTCAGCATGGTTTTCTTCGTCGTCGCTCCACTATTACCAATTTATCTACCTTTGTGAATTACACTTTGATGAATATGGACAGCGGCGGACAGGTAGACGTGATCTACGCGGACTTCGAAAGGCTTTCGATCGCGTTGATCACGTCATCTTGCTTCACAAGCTTTATAGTCTGGGGATCCACGGGGACTTGTTACGTTGGATACAGTCATATTTAGAAAACCGCTCTCAGGCAGTTGTTTTGGGCGGATACAGATCAAACTTCCTTGATATACCAACAGGCGTGCCTCAGGGGTCGCATCTAGGGCCTTTATTTTATAGCGCTTACTTGTACGACATTGGGGTTCATTTAAAATATGCCGAACACTTGTTATATGCAGACGACAAAAAAAATTTTCTTCGCATCAAAAATATTCGCGATTGCGAATCCCTACAATCCGATCTAGACAATCTTAGCAAGTATTACATGGAAAACAAAATCACTGTCAATATAGGCAAGTGTCAGTGTATCTCATATACACGAAAAAGCAAGCCTATTCATTACAAATATACACTCAATAAAAACCCAATTGCAAGAGTGACGGAGATTAGAGATTTGGGAGTTATTTTTGATAGTAGGATGACTTTAACACCTCATATAGACCACGTTGTTAACAAGGCCTACAAGAGCTTGGGCTTCGTCCTGCGTTCGTGCAAACCCTTTAGTGACATGGCCGCCATTAAATCAATTTACTGTGCATATGTTCGCAGTACATTAGAATACGCTAGTCAAATTTGGTCACCCCAATATAGTATACACAAAGATCGTCTAGAGAGAATCCAAAAAAAAATTATTAAACATCTTAACTATCGACAACGTATTTCCCCTGATTCATATCATAGTGGATGTCAACATCATGGCCTCTTGAGCTTAGAGGAGAGGCGGGTATTGCTTGACATGTGCCTACTGTTCGACACCTTAAATGGGCAATTGGACTGCGCGGATTTAGTAGCGGGTATCGGATTTTGTACTCCTAAGCGACGCACACGCCATACTCCCTTGCTGTGTACACCTAAATACTCCACTAGATATGCTAGTAACAATGTCCTCATTCGTATAGCACGTACATATAATACTAAATTTAACGAACTTGAACTTTTCGGGATATCGAAACACACATTTAAACAGCGAGTTTTGCAGTATTTCAGTTAATACGTTCGGTATGCTATTACGGCAAAAATTATACTACATTCATTCTATTAACAAAGACTCGGGTCGCCGGGAGCAGTTGGTGATGAGGGACTATGTACTTGGTTCTCCATCATACACAATAAAACTAGTATTAGCTAATAAGCAATAGATCATGTCTTCCCACGTCTTAGTACAATTGTAATTTTCATAGAAAACCTATTATTAGCCTTAGTATTAGAAAGTATGTAAAAAAAAATTTTAGTTACGCTGTTGGTTTTCTGAATAAATAAATAAACACTATAGAAAATTTCACGCATTCCAGGCAGCAGACGGAACACAAACCCTAACCATACGCTATCCGGGCGGATGCACTACACATGCGATAGCGGAGGGTGTGGTTTCGAGTCCCGTCTGCTGTCTGGATCACGTGGAATTTGCCTGGTAAAATTTCCTTTAGGTTTATAAATCTAGCAGTTAAATGCTTAAAATAAATATAATAATTTACATATTGAGGAAAATAAACAGTAACCATTATATAATGCTTACGGAGGAATAAAAAGCTGAGGACATTTATCCAAGCTACTTATTGTTTATACGCCGGGTTTCATCGTGTTGCCGACACGAGAGGTCACGAGTTCGAATCCCGGTAGGGGCAGATGTTTGTGCGACGAATACGAGCATTTGTACTCCAGTCATGGATGCTTAATATGTATTTCTATATAAATATACTATATATACTTATATCTATACAATATGTATACTATCCGTTACCTTAGTATCCCATAACACAAGCCTTACAGTGCTTACTTGGGGGCTAGGTGAATTTGTGTGAATGTTGGGAATATTTATTTATTATTACGTTACCAAATATTTTACTAGACCCGAGTGAGACTAATTAAATTCCACTTGTTAATTACAAGTTAAATTTAATAGCTTCACGTGTATTTCTACTTTGCTAATAAGAGCTGTTCTATTTATCTCTGCCAATGTACTTTAGCGAGCTAATGTTGAGAAGAGCTGCTATCCGGATAGTTCGTGAGTTCAAGTCTTATAAGGTTACCTTATAAGTATTTTAAAATACAATGAGGCTTAACAAAACTAAGCTACGAATTTTCAAGGCTTATACACAAATGTGGACACACATAAAATTTTGGCGTATCCAGATGACAAATAATAAGTGGTATAAAATTTTAGCATGACCAATTGGATACACATGTGCCCAATTTTTTGTGTCGAGTTGGTGATTAACCCCAGTTTACAATCACGTAATTACTTGTGAAAAGACAGGTCATTATTCTTTTATTGTTGTGAAGCCATTTTCACTCGTTTTTCTCCGCAGCTCAAAATATTTCCAGTAACGAGTGGTAGGGGAAAACGTTTATGGACAATTCAAAAGAGTACTTACTATGCAACCAATTTGAATAAAGATACTTTGAGTTTTGACTCGACTATTTATTAGCTTGAAATAATAATCATTAAGCCACATGTAAAGAAAGTATAGTTTATTTCCGTTAGCCGTAGTTCCATCAGTTCAGCAGTGATAAGTCGATCTATCTTACAAATAATTGGGCCCGACATTACTGACAAGTCTCTGAGAAGATACACGGAGAGGGTTAAGCAGCGTTCAAACGACCGCGACTAATAGGGTACAAACCCTCGGGAGCGGATGCCGAAAAACAACTAATTATCAACGCGATAACTTGATGCTCGCTAGTTTCGGTTTAACGCTCACCCCTTCAGTGGCTTATATTGTAAGACCTAAAGCTTAAAGAAAGAAAACGGATGTTGTATCCATTTTGGGTAATTCATATTCAGAAGGACATCTATTGCAATGTAATGGGTACCTAAATAGTATTTTTTGGTTACTCTTTAGTTTCGGTTTAACGCTTATAGAGCTCTTACCTTATCGCCTTTTTAGTGGCTTATATTTTAAGACCTTAAGCTTACGGAAAGAAAACGAATTTTGTTTCCATATTGGGTTGTTCTTATTTTGAAGAATATCAATTGCAATCTAAAAGGTACCTAAATGGTTATTATATTTTGTTTTTGAGTACTCTTTTGTTTCATTTTCATAATTTCCTTATCGCTGTCTCCGCTTTTACAATCCCGGCTTTCTCTATGAATTAATATATTATAGCAAACGCGTCATTGACCACCACACGAGCCAAGTGCCGATAAGAGCGTGCTAATCACTGCAAATTCATCCGTTTCCAACGGCCGAATTTGCCAACATGCCTTCCGAAGCGCGGAGGTAATCCAGATATTTTTTGTCACTTATTCGGGTGACAAAGTATTTCAATGCCTTAAAATTGCCTTGGCAGTTACCAATATAAATACAAACCCCCAAAACGTAGCATTTTTGGGCTGTGGGAGGATACTTCCTTCTACTGTTTCATGTTGCAATTTAAGCGCAACATCCGACTATCATCGTCGTCAGTCTAATTTAATATCCCTTTGCAGGGGCACAGGCCTTCCTTATGGATGGAATATTCGGTATTGGTGAGTGCTAACAACTGCAGATATAGCCGAGACCAACGGCTTAACGTGCCTTCCGAAGCACGGAGGAGCTCGAGATAATTAGTTTTTGGTGACCCATCCAATGACTGACCATTATAAAAGTTGTTTAAATTCCACGATTGCAAGCCGAAGACGCTGTCTACTTACGCCATCGAGATCTTTCGACTATGATCAACCAAAACAATGATGATTACAAAAGTAGAACGGTCTAGTATTAGCAGAATTTTTACAACAGTTTTTCGACACGCAGGCTATAAAAACATGGTTGATGCCGAGCTTATATCCGAGCACGTGGATTACGTGACCGCATACGATGATGACGCGGTCCCTCTTATATTTGCGGAATATGAAATAGCGAGAAGGTACTTCAGAACTTTCCTGGATGGTCGAATCAAGTAAGAAACATTGAAAAAGTTTTGCTTAATTTTTTAAGGATTGTTTTACAAACATACATATTTTTTTTATACAAAGAATAATTCATCATAATAATTATAGATTACATAGTACCTAGCATTAACATTCATCGCGTCTGTCGGTACATTCACGATGTTCGTTCAATGGATTTTTATGCAGTTTAAATAAAACATGGAAGATTTATATCGACACTTCCATAATAATCATACTAATATTATAAATGCGAAAGTGTGTCTGGTTGGTCCTTCTTAACACTTAAACCACTGAACTAATTTAGATTAAATTTGGTATAGAGATAAAAATACTGAAATTATTCATATGTCATACATTAAATGCATTTGGTTTTTCTATTAATTAAGAACTTAATAGCAGCCTTAAGTCATCGGCTTTATATAACTATAAATATTGACTCCGTTAAGGTGACGTCACATATGTCCGTATCATACGCGCCGAACGCGCCCAACGCGCCGCATTTCCATGTAGACTACAAAATGCGGTGCATACGGTACTGATTGAAGTGCGCAAGGCAACTATATTAAATACCCTAGATACACCAACGCGAACAAAATTGTGGCCGAAACCTGTCCAAAAGGTATATTGGACGATCCACGGAGCTCCATAAGATGATCGCGTAATCAAAAACAATAAAAGGCATTTTTTGAACATTGAAAGTCACCTTTAATGCGTACTGTATAAGTTCTTAATTAAAACATAAGCGTCAAAGAGTAATGACAGTTCGAAATGCAAGCTCGTAAAATTTTACGACAATTTGCTATATGTGGAAGAATTTAGACCTTCTTTCTTTGACTCTACGCGCAACTCTGAATGCAATGTTACCAATACAGCAGGTACGGACCGCGAGGAAAACAGACGGCTATATTACCGCCCATGCATTTGAATATCACAAATATTTTCTATTAAATCAGTTTATAGTAAGTATTAGAACAAAATTTGCTTCAAATGCGTTAAATTAACAAACATTGATGAGGAACCTGTCGATAAAAAATACTATAAGTATTTTTTTCGTATTTTTTCAAGGAGCTCTGCGGCATCTTGACTTTTTAATGACCCGCGCGTGACTGTGAATCAAGAAGTGCTTGAAAAATGTTCAAGCACTTCTTGATTGGGACACATTTTGAGCGCACGTGGTATATCTAGGATATTTAATATCGTTGGTGCAACGTTTTATATGATTTCACACAACGAATTCTAAATGCGGCGCGTACGATGTGAATTTGTATGCGATTACCTTTAGGGTCCTAAATAAATACTAGTCATTTGTTTATTTTACAGAAAATTCAGTGAAAAGTATCACTATAGAGGTGAATTTTCGTACAGTGATACGTTATTTAGACAGGAAATACTCGAGATTGACTCGAACTTCGAAGATATCAATCGTGGAACTTTTTATCAGCACGCGGCCAAAATAGACGACATTCAAGATCCTGACGTAAGCCAATATTATTATTTACATTTACAAAAGAGGTCATCATCATCAACCTTTTAATGTCCCCACTGCTGGGTCACAGGCCTCTCCTTTGGATGTATTGGGTCGTAACCTACCATGTGGGCTCAGTGCGGATTGGTGGGTGCTAATGACTGCAGATGCAGTCGGAACCAAAGGCTTTACGTGCCTACTTCGGCACGGAGAAGCTCGAGATGGTAAATTTTTGGTCACCCATCCAATGACCGACCACTGCGCAAGTTGCTTAACTTAAAAAAAGAGGTCATATGTTCATTAAAGAAGAAAAAAATAGCTAATTAGTACATTGGTATTAATTAATTAAACATTTGAATTTTTAAGTTTGAAGAAAAAAATTTCCTTTCACTAAAAAAAACAACTTATTCAAGGCATTAGTCCATCCTGATTTTCTACTTTGCATGCAATATGAGCTGGCATTGTACTTGTGATAGATGAAATAAGGGTTTCTCTGATTTTCGAAGTTTCGTCAGCTCCTGATAGACTGTACGGTTATGAGTAGTAATACTTAACTCATTTAATTACCTCCATTCAAGAAGTGATCATTTGGTCTTTCAGCTTTGGTATAATAAAACGATTTTACTTCTAGTTAATTATACAAACACAGATTTATATTCTGATGCGAAATTAACATAAAACCACAAAAAGAGGAAAGAAAAGTAATAAAGTTAATGTTAACTTTATAAAGTAAATATTTACAAAGTTCAATAAAACTTCAATTCAACCAATTCACCTTAATGAGAAAAATCTTTTTCTTGATCTAAAGTAAGAACTTTATAATAATTCTTGACTATTCTTGGAAATAATCTCTGCCAAGAATTAAGAAAATCGCCGTTGTCTATCAAACTTGCTGATTAAGTTTTTAACGTATAACCTTTCGGGAAGTCTAAAGTTCTAAATGCTTGTTCTTACATTAGGCTCAAAGTTTCTAAAGTAAGCTAATTCCACTTTAAGATTTCGGAGAAATTCTTTGGAGAGCTACAGAAGGCTGCAGATCTCATGGCCATCGATATACAACGCGGAAGAGACATGGGGCTGCAAGGTTATAATGGCTACAGAAAACTCTGCGGGCTCAAGCCAGCCAAAGAGTTTGAAGATCTTCTAGATGTGATGAGTGTTGAGGTAGGTCTTCATACAGGTATGGTTTATAGTCTACCATCATCATCATCGCCTACTTGTTAACGATAGACTGGAAAAACTTACTGAAACTAATGGAATATAACAAAAAAATGGCCCATCAAGAAATAAAACGAGCGAACTTGACACAATCACAAAACAACGATATTATTTTTTTAAAGAAACTTACAAAACAATGATATACGAAAAAGATACAAAAAGGTTCTATCAAAATATAGTTAATAGTTCACAACACTACTAATATCCCTACTGCTGAGGCACAGGCCTTCCCGATGAATGGAATAGGGAGATTGGGCCACGCGGGCCCAGTGTGGATTGATGGGTTCTAACGACTGCAGATGCAGGCGGTATTAACGGCTAACCGTACCTTCTGAAGCACGGAGAAAATAGAGATTGTAAATTTTTGGTCACCAATCCCATGAACGACCATTGCGAAAGTTGCATAACTTCATCGATCGCAGCCGAACGCACTAACCACTTGCGCTATCGAGCTCTTCACCAACCGGTATCGTAATAATGCTGATTGCTGGCACATTCTAATAAAAATAACCTTTGGATTAATTTAGTAATAATAACTTGTCACTGACGGACGTGGTAACTGATAAATAATTGTTCTAATTATTCAATTGAAACCGTGTATTTTTTTAAAGAGACCTTTACTTGTGTTACGCAGAAAGTTAAATAGATTTTCTTTGTAGTTTTTTTTTAAGGGTAGTTTACAAGATACACACTAAATTACAATAAAAATATGTAGTGAGGCCTTAGTAACAAACTGTCACCACAAGCACTAATCACACATTATAAACAAAACAATATATTCTGTTTCTCCTGACTCTATTTAGAGAAAGAACCCATTTTTAATAGTCCCGAACACTACTAATAATTATTTATAACATGTTAAGCATACACTTAGTTAGGGTTGCAACGATATATCGGAATATCGATAATATCGATAATATCGAGACCAAAATATCGATATTTATATCGATATTTAAAATTCACTGATATCGATAATATCGGTATCGGAAATTCCAAAATATCGATATTTCGTAGACTAAATTTAAACACAATAATATCAATTAATTTACCTGCTATGACTATCTAAATTGAATAATATCGAAATAACTATTGCTTTGAAATCGCAAGAGCTTATAGATGTATTAAAAAAATCTTGAACCCCAAGAAATATACTAAACTGGTGTGGATCTGGCATGATTTTCTCAACCTAAAATTAAATTTGACAACAGTGTATCCTTGTCATTCTCTATACAGAATGACAAGGAGAGGCTGATGTTAAATTTAGTTTTAAGTTTAGATAATCATGCAAGAATCGACACCAACGTATATTGGTATAATCGTATACCTAATGGTAACTCATGCACTTAAATAAAATCCTTGCCTCTCTTTCTAGATAATTGTCAACTACTGATTAATTGAAATTAAATATCATTGTAATATAACACAAAATAAAATTAAGACTCTTATACAAATCGTAAATTTTTAAGCTCGCCAAGTCAAGAAAGTAAGATAGGTATAGTAATTTTTGAAGCTTTAGGCTTACCCTATTCTGAAGCCATGGGCATGCCCCTGATGTGTGGGAGACTAAGCAATTTGCGTATTTGATGTGCGTTAAAAAACCAACATAGCTTGGAAAAGCACGAATGTAGTGAAAACTTAGCGAAGGCATTCGCAAATGTCGTCCCACATATGCGGGTTGGCGCATTCGTGCTAACAAATGTGAGTGATCTGATCAGGATAATAATTTTAATTTTTTGGTTTCCTGTCGTGGCAGAAACACAAACCGTACGAGCCATAAAAAAATCCGGCTTGGCGCGATTTTATCAAGCGTGTTTAAAGAAAAAGCTGGCTCAATGCATTTTGCGAGAAACTCGCCAACAAACATATGAATGTGTCACACTCACCCCGTATTCTAATGTTTATAAAAAAAAAGAAAAAAATATCGATATATCGATAATATCGAGTTAAAATGGTCGATATATCGGATATCGATATTTTCCTGACTTCGATATGAATAACGATATAATATCGATATTTCAAAAGACTTTGCATCCCTACACTTAGTATATAAATGACCTTTAAACTCTGTTTTTAAGTTTCATTAGTTTTAAGTAACAAATCATTAAAAGCTTTAGTAAACGAAGAAAAATAGAATGCATACCTACAAGAGAAACGGTCTGCTGCTCCAGATAAACTGTACGAAAACACCACAGAGAACATAGAAAATTTACTGTAATGTTAAAGTTTTCGAATTGCCGTAATGCATTTGTTTCCATTTAACACGGCGGGCGTCGACATATTTTTAGTTCAAGATCCCGCTCATCAATTCTGCAGTCATCTGTTTTCTGTTTTGTCAAACTTAATCAGAATCACGGGTACGCTTAAAAAAATTACGGCTTATACCTAAATTCATTGACATCCATATCTTTGATTAAAATGCACCCATTACAATTTTTATTAAATTTAACGTCATTTGAAAGGAAATAAAGAAAGTGAGATTTTTTTTAAATGCAATTGTTGCAAACTCTCAAATAATGAACATTAATGTACCTGTTTACACCTGGCAACTCTAAAAGCGGCTGATTGAGATTTCACATCATTTACTTTTAGGTGACGTCAAATATATTAAAAAAAAAATGGTTGCCTGTAAAGTCGGTTTTACGGGCGAAGATTTTACGTGACAACGTCTTTTTCTCGGTAGAATATTTATTGATATGAATATAATTAAATTGCACAATAGGAACAAGGAATTGAATGAAAATAAGAATTGCACAAATTTTAACTATAGAAATATATTTTGTTTACTAAAACATTGTACATGTAAACTTAAACTTAACACGAGAGACTCATCGTAACGTTACCGAGCGTTACACTTTTTCATAAGTGACTCCCAGCCGCAACCTAATTTAAGACGTTGTCACGTCAATACGTATGTATGCAATTAACATGGACAAATGTATGTCACTTAATTTAATTAAACGTGTTTGCGTCTTTGTTTTAGGCAACCCATCACTTATAATAATAATAATAAATAAATTAAAATTTCCAACACTCACAGCAAATAACCTCGCCCCAAAGTAAGCACTGTAGGCTTGTGTTATGGGATACTAGGGTAACGGATAGAATACATGTACTGATACATCTATAAGTATATTAATATAGAAACATTTATTAAACATCCATGACTGGAGTACAAATTCTCGTATTCGTCATACAAACTTCTGCCCCCACCGGGATTCGAACCCGGGAAACCCGGCCTACAAACCACTCGGCTACTGAGGTCGTCAAACCTTATGCTTTGTATGATCACTTATGATTCGTTTCAATGAAGTTTCATTAAAAATCAAATGGCTGCAGATTCAAACGGCGGGATCTTGGACTATTTATTACTCCGCCTTTACGGAAACAAAGGAGATTGCTCAAATTGGCCCAAATGTACAAAAAATATTGACATACACGGTAATTCTTGGCGTAATTTATAATTTAATTTACAATCATTGGATTTCAACGGACACTTTTGTATAATATATTTACTTTAAAAAGGACTTCTAATTTTACCGGTTTGGAAAAGATACGAATAATTTTTAATGGCTATGGGTGTAATAACATTCAGCCAAAGTCTGATCGAAGTTGTTTATATGACATAAAACAAATCTATTTTGTAAATATCGATAAAATAAATCATTTTTTATTACACTGTGGTATTAATATCCACAACTATATTATCATTTTCACTACATGCAAATGTGCTCAGACAATTATTATAGATGGTAAGCGACATCATAAAGTCTATTGCCATACATTTTTCGCCAAACACCTCCATAAATACATTATAATCTGTATTTATGTTAGACTTTAAGGTAACTCTATCTATGGGCCTACGTTGCCCGACTATAAATTAATAAATAAATAAAATTATAAGGTGTGATACTAAAAATCTAAAATATGGTTATATTAAAAACATAACAATAATAATGAAGCTACTGAATATATGGCTATATAACCTAAATCTCTTAGCTTTCTTTGGTTAACGAGAGTTTAAAAATTCTCTCTAATCTGTGGCTCATTCACAATCATCACACAGTTTCTGTCATAGAGTACCTTTTAACCTTAAATGCATAGATGAAACCTGATTTTAAAAGTTACTCTTAAGCATTAACTTTAAAAACAGGCAACTATCTGTTAATCTACATGCTCTATAGACCTGAATCTAATCCATAATTTCGGTACTTGGCTTAATTGCCTTAGTTTACTATATAACTCATTTGTTGTTTATTGTTTTAATATGATCAGTGTATATGGTTTATAAAAGTTCTCAGGGGAGTCCGTCAATAATATTCATTTCTACAGTAATTTATATATAATTTTGAATCTAGGAAACAATTTTTCATGATTATTGGTCTTTAAGCCAAACCTGTATGGAAGCTGAGCAATCTCCTTTTAGTATTTCAATGATCATTTTTTTTTTGACACCTCCCAACATAGTAGTCGTTGGTTTATATCACGAAACCCATAAACGTTTGTCGGTAATTACATCCATTTTTTGTGTTTATTTTTCCACATAGTTGCGTTGAACAACAGGGTATTTGACAAGTTTTAGACGTTTTCTAAAACTTGTCTCACGTTATTAACTAATGTTTATGAAGTCCGTAAAAAGTGGATATTCATCATTCTGTTGTGTATTTCAGTAAAAATAACCAAATCAAAAACTCCATTTTCAAGTTGCCGCGAAAACGTTTCTTTGGACAATATGGCGTCTTACTAGTGTGTGACGTCACAAGAATGTCATTAAAACGTCAAACTATACAATCAAATGTCACTTTAACCGAAAGTTTACTTGCGTGTGACGTCATTTTAGGCTCCACCAATCCCAAGCGTTTTGGGTCACGTGACAATAGACAAGAAAACTATTATCTTTATCGTGGGTTTTTAGTAAAATTATGAATATTTTTACTGTAAAAATAGGTAAAACCCCTGCCAATATTCATTCTTAACGCAGATGCTAACAATTGGCACTTTATTTTTAACATGTCAAATACCCTATTAAACACAAAAAACGTATGTAATGAAAGTTTCACTTTAAAAATAACCCATGATAATAATATTCTAAGTGGGATGTTGAGTATAAGGTACGGGAATGATATTTAGGCGGGTGTATAGTCATCCATCCTTTGATGTTTTGCCGTCCCGTATGTAGGGCATTATGCACAATGACGACAGGGATTAGAGATCCCGATTCCAAAATCTGAAACCCTTTAAGGGTAAGTTTGAGTAATGAACACACAATGTCAGACACCCTATTATGTTCATAATATTATGTTATATCCATCGGTTCGTTTATTTACTTTGTACTTTTATTATTATAATACAAATAGAAGACTATCGGTCTTAATACAAAAAAGTTAGACACGATTTAAAACCTTGCTTAGGAAAATTTTGTATGACATATTTTTCTTAAACTCGTATTGAACGTATGTAACTTATAACTTTTTATGGCAATATGGCCACAATTTATTTCACGACCTGAAAGTCCCTTATGGGGTTGGCAGAGAATTAAATATCATGATGGCTTGAAATATTTTAAGTAAACTTAAATAATATTAACTAAAACTAACTAACTAAACTAACCAAACGTAAAAATACCCGCAAGAAATGCTATTACACCTTACATTAAAACAAAAAGGGCTAAAAGTGATCCGCTTAAATAATGGTGCACGATCACAATTAGCTGTAGTCACAATTGGGCATTCAAACACGCTGCATGTGTACTCAATATAACAATATTGCGTATATTCTGTGTTATAAAGATAAAACAATGCCTTCGATGCTTTTATAAAGAACGCAAATATGTAGTTCAAAATCAAGTAACAAATGCCTCGGCAACACTTCTCATTCGTAAACTGTAAAATATTTTTTTTCTCAATAATCACGGTTTGTTGTGAATGTTATTTACGTAATCGCCATTTTGTTATCAAGAAAAGGACAACAATACAGCTCAGCCGTTCGCACTCGGAAGCGAATTCGCCGTTTCTCTCTCTCTGCGTTGAAGCGTACAATTCTGTCTCGCTCGCTCGATTGAATGATATTTACAGAGGTGTGCGTGTGTGAGAGTTGCTTATGTAGTTGAGTCGGATCATATTTTATTTGATGCTAGTATGAGCGTACCATAGCTTCCCATTATTGTTTTAATCTAAGTATTACACTTTATACTGTCTGGGTCTAAGTTATTGGTATTCGATAAGTACACTTTAACTATCTATTGCTGGTCTAGAGTTTTCGAAACTGAATTGATTTGAAGTTAGGATTTTCTTCAAATTCAATTCATTTATTTTAAAAAAAGTGTAGAATATGCTCCCTATTGAAGTTATCTTAAAGGAATACAACATGGGTTCTCTCAAAAAAGGCGTGAAGAAGTTTTTACAAAGTCGAGACACGCGTTGCTACTCCTGGTTTACCATTTACCATTAGGCGGACCGACTTTACTTGTCTTTCACAAAATAATCTAGGCATATATACACAGATAGATATTTCACATTAGAGTTGGTGACGTCTCGGACACAAAATATTCAGACAGAGTATCCGAATCGGCGCATATTTCAATATTAATAAGTGTTTCACTCATTATTCGGACTCTTATAAAAAAAGCTGTTCTGTACAGTCAGATAAAAAAATCCAACCTCATCTTAAAAATAATATACAAACCTACATAGTTACATTGATGCGGACCCTGGCAGTCGTGTTATTAAGTACAATACTGAGTGAAAAAGCGCTCAAGCAGTTATACTCGTAGGTACTACGATAAATCAGCATACGATATTGAGACTGACAGCGAGTAAAATGACTCCTCTTTGTTATTTTTTAGAAAATGGAAACTTTGAAGCATCTGTATCACGACATAGAAGACATAGATCTCCTGGCTGGTATAATGAGCGAGAACTTGCTGCCTGGGGCGTTTGTTGGACACACACTGTTCTGCATCATGGCCAGGCAGGTGCACCTGATGAGATTCGCCGACAGATTCTGGTTCGAGAGAATGGAACAGTATCACAGTTTCACACCAGGTACGTTTTAAACTTCTTCAATATTGAAAGGTTTACAATTCTGGAATTAAAGTGCCCTGGTTAGAATGCCGGTGGGGGAAATATTTTTGTGATGAATACGAGCATTTGTACTAAGTATGTTTATGTGTATTTTCAAAATAAGGAATATACTTCCTTATATATGTATGTATCAGTATTGTGTTTTCTATCCGTTACCCGAGTATCTAATGACACAAACCTTACACTGCTTACTTTGAGGCTAGGCTAATTGCTGTGTGTGTTTGTAAGAAATATTTATTTGTACAAAGCAGATTTCCTTAATAACTGGTTGTACTATGAGTAAACCAGTTAGTACACGTTACACGTAGTATACGTAAACACGTTCATGTATGCAATAATTTGGCATGAACATTGCCTTTATTACATGGCTATAAGAGTGTTATAAGATGTCGAGATTAATTAATATACCCCACTAATCGTAACACATGCCTGGTTCGTACGGATATCATGAAATCATAATCTAATTTAATAACACAATCATGCGGAAGGTGTGTCAATAAAGCCCTGACAAAATTAATAGTTTTTAATTGCAGTTTATAGAAACTTTATAAAGTATAAACTCTTTTGATTTGCATTAAAGAGTTGTCTTAGTAGACTCAATTTTTACTAGATGGTACTCTACAAATTCTTCCAAGTTTACTGAAACGCGAACAAATTAGTTATACATTTAGGTTTCACGGTCTGATTGCCGTATAATTGGGAAATTTCCAAATGGAAAGTGTTTGTGTAATTCGTAGAATGATAAAATTAATGGAATATTTTCGTTCACAGTTCACACATGGGCAGTCACATAGGCATAACACCTAACTACTGCTTTAGTCTTAGTTTCGTTAATTGCAATCGATTTTCTCAAAATTGTTATGCCCTATTAAGTCTGTAAAATTATTATATATTATTTTACTTATGAAATATTATTATATAACTTACTAGTGCCTACGACATCGTCTGCGTGGAGTTAATTGGGTTACCCATACAAACTTCTACCCCTATTTTCGCTCCATTAAAGGGTGATTCCTAGGATAACAACTATCCTATATCCTTTTCTGGGACTCAAACTGTCGCTATACCAAATTTTATTTAAATCGGTTCAGTGGTTTAAGCATTAAGACGTAACAGACAGACAGACACACTTTCGTATTTAGGTATAAAATTAGTATGTATAATATGGAAGTATCAGTTTATGATTAATTTTTTGATTTTTTTTGTTTGATTAATTTATCTGTCTGTCAATATTCCTCAATACACATTATGAATTACAATTAAAACAATAGGTTTTTCTATTAGAACTGTAGCTTTGGAACTATATTAAATCTCCTTACGAAGCATAAAGAAAGCTGATCACTGAAGTTTCGAAATGAGTGATGAACTTTTTTTCCCGTGCTCTGTTTGCGAGTCTTTCGCGGACAAAAGATGAGTTCATAATATCTCCTCTAAGTAAAGGCGAATGACGAAGAAAAAGACGTATTTCCCGCAAAGCGGTTCGGATATAATTTCAACAGTCTTATTCTAAAGATACGGCCTAAACACATAACAGATAGATACAGAAGGCAATCTATATACAAAGTGCGCTAGAGTCACGTACATATAGACACCGCTCGATATCTCGGACCAGTTGGAACGAAGAGAACTACTCTAATTAAACAAAAAACGAAATCTCGACGTTTCTTATTGTGTTTCTGATTCATTTCTAATTATAATAATATTCATTCACCTGTATCTACTAAAAATATATAGTTTAGCCTTAATAACCTCAAATTGATAAATTTCGTTTGAACTTCGTTACCGAATGTTCGTTTCAGAGAAAGAGAGTATACCTCAGTGCGTTCTCGAGTTCCATCCGTTGACAATCCTACCGCGACCGCCGTGCGTAGGTATAAAAAGTAATTGACTTCTGTACCCATCTGTTTTGTGGCATAAGACAGAAGTTGAGAACAAGACGGTAACTGAGGGAGCACTAACAAAAGAAGTGCCTGATTCATCACGCTCGCATGCTTCGGTTCCGTCCGTAGTTCGCGGTCGGTATTCCTTAAATGGAAATAACTTTTTTGAACTTAATGCTTAAAGCAGTTGGAGTAATGGATTCTCTTTTGTATGTCTAGATTTCGTGTGATTTTACGCTCGCAATTTTTTTGCCTAGCTTCTCTTTTATAATTTATTTCGCTGAATTCTCAGAAGTGTTACTCAAAAGCATTACGATTAAAGCAAATTATTTGGCAAATAGAAACCCAATAGAAAACTAAATTGGTGTTTAATTTTATTTGACTTTCGAACTTTTAAAGAGACTCACTAGGTTCACGGTAGTTAGTAATAAGAGCCTTAAAAAATCTCAGAAGAAAAACTAGGTATTTTGCTAGCAATTACACAGAGTGGAAATTAATTATAGAAGAAATCCTTGGTACGGTAGACTTAACCAAACTATACAACATATTTTTAAGGAGCTAGACACCGTAAATAATTAATAATATAAAACAATAGTAACTTTATTCAATGAAGGCCTTTCATCATCATCATCAGCCTATTAATGTCTCTACACACAGGCTTTCCCTATGGATGGAGTAGGGAGATTGGGCCATGACCCACCACGCGGGCCCAGTGCGGATTGGCGGGTGCTAACGACTGCAAATGCAGCCGGGACCAACGGGACCTCCTCTTTGCGTTACGCAAAATGCTAATATTGGTTCTTAAAAAAGCCGTTACTAATATCAAAATGTATTTACCGGAAGGTTTCAATTATTGATCGAAGCCAATAATTAACCAAATAACGATATTATTACTACATATATCCTGTCAATAAAATTTTCAGTTATTATTATTTGTGGAATATTGAATCATCAACGTAGTGTCATTTCTATTTCATCATTATTTTGTAATATTAAATGTTTACAGCTCAACTAAGGGAGATCAGAAAAACTAGCATCGCACATTTAGCATGTGCTAATGCAAATGGCATCAAGTTTATCCAACCTCAAGCATTTCTCAACATTAAGCAAAGGTAAGTTATTTTAATTTTCCTTTTTATTAAACCATTATATAATCATAGCTAGGTATATAAAACTAAGGTACATAAAAATACATGTTCTTTATTTATTTTAACCTCTAAACTGGGAGCTGGTATTCCCACAGAGAATGGGCTAATATTATAAGTAACAACGAAGCCATCCACAACATTAACTCTTAACTTTTTGTTGTGAAAAGCAAACATTTTTGTTTTGGAATTATTTAACATGCGGAAGATATTAATCCTAAATTATTTAGAAAAATGTTAATTTAATTACTTTAATCTTTCAATATATTTACAAAGCTCTCATATAAGTGACAAACAAGATTTATTCGAAGCATGGAGTAGCCCAAGATGATAAACTTTTGTTTATCCATTTTATGACTAATTATTATAAACTAACTACTGTGCGCTATCAAATACCTTAAAAACACAAGCCTGTTTAGTTATATCAACACTCAATTTGGAGAATTGTAGTTCTTTGGAAGAAAATAAACTGAATATCATTCGCCTTTTTCTAAATTATAAGTTAACAACTTTTTATTGTACGATGCGGTATAATATGCGGCACTCTGTACTGAAATAGGATATTTGACAAGTTTAGAAAACTATCACTCGTTATTTACTAATATTTATCTCCATAAATATTCATCCATCAGAGTCCATAAAAAGATGGATATTTATCATTCTGTTGTGTATTTCAGTGAAAATAACTAAATCAAAAACTTAATTTTCAAGTTGCCGCGAAAACGTTTCACTGGACAATATGGCTTCTCACTGGTATGTGATGCCACAAGACTGTCATTAAAACGTCAAACGATATAATGTAATGTCACTTTAACCAGAAGTTTACTAGCATGTGACGTCATTTTAGGCAGCGCCAATCCCAGGCGTTTTCGGTCACGTGACACTTGATAAGAAAAACGTTATCTTTTTCGCGGGTTTTTAGTAAAATTGTAAATATTGTTACTGTAAAAATAGTAAAAACCCCTAAAATATTCATGTTGAATACAGATGCTAACAATTAACACTTTATTTTTAATATTGTCAAATGCCAGATTGTATTATAGCTATTAACGGGATTGTTACCATTTACCTTGTTTTTATGAGTCTCAGATATTTCGGCACTGTTGCAAGCGCCATGATCACGTAGTAACTGAAATAATTGCGGGTAGATGTTATTGGCAGACATATCGGTCTACCCTCTTACGTCGTCTTTTATTGCGTTCGATACCCCCCCTACCACGGGTCACATTCTCACTATTCACTCGCACTTGTTTCCGACACACAATACTCACAGCATCAGATCGCGGAACGACACTTTTTTACACACCACTGCATTCCAGACACTTGACAATTTAAACCCATCCTCACGATTGAAATTCTTGTGTTTGGTTATTTCAATAGCTTCCCTGACCAATTTTGTTATGTAGTGGCGTTATGTCGAGATAATTTGTGGATTATGGATCTCAATCCAGTCATTAGGACCCGAATCAATTAAATGTACCGCGATGGCTGATTTTTGCGTATCATTATTTCTGACTGCTTTAAGGTGTTCTTTAATTCGGCATGCTATTGTCTGCTTCGTTTGGCCAATATACGAACTACCACAGCTGCAGTCGATCTTGTATACACCAGGTTTCTCCAAGGGGAAGTTGTCTTTGGGAGACAGTAGAATCTGTGACACTTTTTGGAAAGGAGTGAAGACAGTATTCAGTGAGTTCTTACTTAGTATGTTCGAGATCTTCACTCCTTTGATGTATGGTAAAATAGTGGTTACCTGTCTACTTTGTGTTTCTGGTGTCTTAATTTGTATTTGGGTGGAAACTTTTCCTTGTAACCATTATTCTGTAATACCTGCCGTACATGCTCCAACTCTTCGTGCAGGTGTTCCTTGTCACACAAGTCATATGCACGGTTCGTTAGTGATGTGACTACAGAATTATGATGTTTAGGGTGGTGATGCGAGGAGACGTTCAGATAACCTCTTAAACTATAAGCTGAATGTGCCGCTACATCCGATCATGAGTCAGATAGACTCACATACGAAAAATAAGCCATCGCGGAACATTTAATTGATTCGGGTCCTCATCACTGGATTGAGTTCCATAATCCACAAATTATCTCGACAGAACGCCACTACATACCAAGATTGGTCAGGGAAGCGATTGAAATAACCAAACAAGAATTTGAATCGTGAGGATGGGTTTAAATTGTCAAATGTCTAGAATCCAGTGGTTCGTATGTGTAAAAACCGCAAATATCAAAAAAGTGTCGTTTCGCGATCTGATACTGTGAGTATTGTGTGTCGGGAACAAGTGCGAGTGAAAAGTGAGAATGTGACCAGTGGTAGGGGTATCGAACGCAATAAAAGACGACATAAGAGGGTAGACCGATATGTCTGCCAATAACATCTACCCGCAATTACTTCAGATACTCCGTGATCATGGCGCTTGCAACAGTGCCGAAATATCGAAGACTAATAAAAAACAAGGTACATGGTAACAATCCCGTTAATAGCTATAATGTTAGTGACCATGAAAGTTTAAACAACATACCCTATTGTAGTTATAATCACCAACCAGAAACGAAATCCCGTTCCATTGCTATAAAGATCCGGAGCATTGCATTTAAAAGCGAAAATTAAGTGAGACACCATCTACTTGGTTGCAATGAAATGGTGAAATGCAATTAGGGACATCCCATTTATTATTCAGGGCAAGATGGCAAACGCTGTTTTAAAATGGAATCGAGCTTCCATCAAAAGAATTTACATTTCAAGCTCCTTAAATTAAAAACAGTTTGTAATTGGATTTATGCAAATTGCACATGTACTGAGAGCGAACTTTAAAATTATGTTTATTTACCAAACGCTCATACGAAAGGATAGCAATATTGCTATCCTATTTGTCATATGACCATTTGGTTAGCTATATGCTAGAATGCACATAATATCATTACACAACGGTGTAGGCTACTTTATCATTATTAGTATTTTGTATCATTTAGTTTCATAACGTCTTAATAGCAGCCACCCGTGACATCGCCTGCGTTAACTATATTTTTTTGAGAATCTAACAGGAACCAGGTCTTCTTTTTTTTGAGTGTGTATGCTGTTGGTCGCAGATGACCTTTACAGCGTCACCGGGTTTGGGAACGGCGAGATCCTTAGGGGACCTCAAGCCGAGAATTGGCGAGTGCCTCTAGAGGTATTCCAGAAGGAAGATTCCGTCTGGAGCCTCGAACCTAGGGGTCGGCTCAACTAGAGGACGTCTCTGAGACTCGGACCTTGGCTCTAGTTAGCCGTTGTTCCGGGGGGGGGGGGGGGGGGGGGGGGTACCTCGCACTCCTATCCTACGGGTGCGGTGTCTGCCTAATGCTAAGCTAGTGTGCAAGTTTGCTAGCTGTGTAGATTGGTGTTGTGGCCTGTGTTCCCACACAGGCTACAAACACGAGGAGTAGGAGGCACGTTGGCGCGGGTGATTTCGTAGTCACATTTTAAATATTAGTAGGATAAGGGACATAACAAGAAAAAAGTAGACCCATTCAAAACAGTTCATAATAATAATTTGTTTATTTCTCATTAAAAACCTTTTTGTATCGATAACAATTTTTAAATAGCTAATTACATTAATGTTTGTGTGAGACCGATGACCGCGCTAGGTAAGATATACCTGTGTTACAAGTTATCAGGCTCCTACCACCTCGAATTGCCAATGTTGGTTAACAAAAATGATGAATATGAATATTAATTTAACAAAGTTTATTAATAATTATCGACACAGGTTAAGTGAATGAGTGTTTTTGAAATGTTAATTCGTGATGTCACCTTTTTAGGTGAATATCAATATTGCCTTTTGGCAATATTGATATTCTTCTGAATACAATTCATATTCCAGATGAATTGAGTTGTGCTCTAGATTAACGGCGCAAAAAAGCCTGAAGCCCTACATTATGTGGCGATGGTTTCTATCTTTTCCCCGGCAAAGAAATTTTATTCAGACAAATTGTAATGTCGCCATAAAAGGCGACAAAGGCAATGTGGTTGTCACAGTGTTATGACATTCTGTTTGTAAGTCTCCTTTATGACTTGCCCAGACGAGGGACTTTTGTCCGCGGACTTTTTTGATCGACTAAATAGGCAGCTTGCAACTGCATCGAGTAACACACGACAGATTAAAAGTACAGCGTACAAAAAGTTCTCCGAACAACCGAGGACCCCGAGGACCTCGGGAGACCGCACAGGAAAAAAATCACGCAAAAAAAAGAACTCCTGTGACTAGACGCAGCAATGCACACAACAAACTTTAGTCCGCGTTGCGCACTCGATCCCATATAAAAAGATTGACTCAGTATTTTAAATTAAAACGTTTTTTTTTCTTAAACTTCGTGTTCATCAACACAATGTTATCTAAAGTATTAACTTCCATAGCATGCGCTTCTTTAAATTTTGGAGCAACAAATGTTCGCACACCGCGTTCAGATCGTAACATGTCCTCGGCTGTTCTAGGAACAAAATTTCCTCGTATGCGCAGACCATTAAAATCATTCGAATGGCTTACACACCGGTTTCGAGGTATAGATTATGTACCTTTCTCGTTCTAGCTAATTTTAAAAATGACTTAATTGTTAATAAAATTGTTAATTGTTAATAAACTTCTATATGTTTAAATCAAAAGAAAATTTTACTACAAAAAATTCAGTGCGATGCAGGCAGACATTTGTATTTAGCCTTTTGCTATTTCACAGTCAAAACAGTGTCCCGTCTAAGGATCGCTTATATTATTATTCTGATACTTAATCAGTAATTATAACTAATATTTGCTCTCTTTTTCTAGCAATGAACCCATTCCGTGCTCACAAATATTATCGCCAGACCTTAGCAAGTGGTACGACGAGTCATGTCATCGCCACCACAAAGAAGAGCCTCCTTCATATGACTTTTATCCTGGACATCAAAAACAGCGCCTCTTTTACCCGAATACCGGTCGTGAAGATGTTAAAGTAACCGACCATTTTAAACCGCAGGATCACAAGCATAGCGGATATAAGTTGCAACATGTGCAACATGTATTACATCATTCATAATTCAAAAGCTTGGGGTTATGAACTCACGGAGCAGTTTTTCCCCGCACGCGCCGCGGGCGGCAGCAGAGCGGTTTCACAGCCGCCGCGGCTACGAGATAGGGCGAAACGCGCCACATCTGCGGGTGATCACATCCTGCGCGCGCCTGCAGCGAGTGCCGCAAACACCCGTGCGTTTAGCGGGAGAAAATCGCGTCGTGAGTTCTTAGCCTAAGAATTCTATTTAGATGTGAATTTTGTTGATGAGTGAAAATATGTTAATGAAAATCTTCGTATTATATTTAAATTTTAGTAAAGAAGGCTTAAATAGAATTAGATTTATGAAAGAGGGTATTTCACTATAAACAGAAGTACGATTAACACATGAAATAAATATTTCACCTATTTGTATTGAAGTTCGTTTAAAATAAAAATTGGTAAGTGAAAACCTATGTTTATTTTATGTAGTTTCATATTCAGTTATAAGTGTACAGAAATGCTTATCGTTAAATGGGTATGATTAAAGACAGTTTTGTTGTGAGCGTATAACCTATTAGCGGGACTTTTTGTGCTTTCATTAACTTTATTAAGGGTACACATTAAGTACATTACGGAACAAAACAACTGGGTAATTACCCGGCTGCGCAATGCAAGAGCGCGAAGCGCGACGCGCAGACAGGGTTATGTGTTTAACAGTCTATATATGTATGTTTGTTCCTTTGTGGCACACTAGAGACCAAACGCCTGGACCGATTTTGATGATTCATACATCAATCGATTCGTCTCAATCATGGGAGTGCTACTAAAGATATGATAGTAATCAAAATTCAATATGGGCAAAATTAGGCGCCATATTGTGACGAAGTAAAAAAAATAAGTTGACAAAATATATCGAGTGGGGTATCACTGTCTAGATAATCAAAAATCATATTTAGGTTCCTAACACCATTTTTCATTTTATATGATTGTTTAGGATCTACAACGCTTTAAAGTTGTATATTAACCACTTACGCTTTTAATTTCAATCTTACGTTTGTATGGATTTTTGTTACTCTTTCACCTAAAAATACTGAATGGATTTTAATGAAACTTAATAATAATATAGCTCATGTATGATAATTACATATATATAATAATTTATGTAGTTATTGAGTGAATTGGCCAATATATAGCAATAAGTGTCACATAAGACGGAAAAAAATGTCCCATTTGCGAGCCATTTTGGCCTGCACTGCAAAAACAATAAAAGTTACATGAATGTAATGTAGAGTGAAAATGTATCTCTTAAATAGTTCTAAAAAAAGTCCGTGACACCATATATCTATTTTTAATGTGTAAGTCATTACAGCTAAAATAGTGAATCAAAACTAAAATATTATTTGATATCTATTTTCAAAATGCACATTTTGTATTAACAAATCATTTTTTTTCAAAACAAACACCTTAATCGTTTTTGATATTTAAAGACGATAAACTTTGCTTTTTACACTATTTCATTTCGCCAAATATTTAAAAAGTTACAACGATGACAAAGTGATAGCGCCGTGTACTATGTAAAAGAAAAAAAAAGGGGTATTCGCAGTATCTGATCCTATACGAAGTACTAACATTAAAACTGTGATACAGTTCCTTCTTATTAAATGATGAAAAATATACACTTCTGGACACATCTATTGGCCCACCTTAGAGTTTAGGTTTCGATGGCCCCTACCGCAATATGTTTGCTAGATTGAACAAAAACTGTTGATGCAGTTTTAAACCTGATACATTTTACCATCTTTTTCGATCGTATTGTTTTAAATTTGAATTCAGAATACCATACGACATGGAGCTACGCCTAACAAGTCGGATATGCGCCTTGTTAAAGGCAATTGATTTTTGAATAAAAAACATGTTTTTCAAATAAAGGTTTAATTTAATAACGCGTGTTGCCTCCATGGGCATCTACCACAGCTCTCATACGATTAGGCATAGAGTTTATCAACCGCTCTATGAAATTTTGAGGGATCATCTCCCGTTCCTCTTCTATGGCAGTTTTCAACTCCTGCATCGTCTGGGCAACTGGCTGTCGAGCCCTAACACGTCTTTTTAGCTCGTCCCACATGTGCACAATGGGGTTCATGTCTGGGCTTCTGGCTGGCCAGTCCATAACTGTGATGTTCACATCCCGAAGATATTCTCTGACGATGCCGGCCGCATGGGCTCTTGCATTATCATGCATAAAAAGGAAATTTGGGCCCACATAGTCCGCGTATGGTATCACGTGAGGTTCTAAGCACTCACGAATGTACCTTTCAGCATTTAATGTTGGCAGCCGTGGTCCTGTAACAACCTCAAGTTGAGTTTTGCCGCTCGCGGATATACCGCCCCAGACAGTCCATGAGCCACCGCCATAAGCAACCCTCTCTTCAAAGCAGCATTGTGCGAAACGCTCTCCCTTACGTCGGTAGACCTTCTTCCTTCCATCATTGCCATGTAACACAATTTTAGACTCATCAGAAAAGAGTACACGGCTCCAATCTTGCTGTGTCCAATTTAAATGACTGCGTGCGAAATGAAGGCGCGCTGTTCGGTGGGCTCGCGTTAGTTTGGGCCCGTTAGCTGGCTTGTGTGGTACCATATCGCGTTCTTTTAACCTTCTCCGAACAGTTCGAGCGCTCACAGATACTCCGTGGAAGTCGCGAATTTGTTTTTGTATCTCAATGGAGGTAAGGTGACGATTTCTCAAGCTGGTCGTCACGATGAATCGATCCTGCCTTTCAGTTGTGACCCGAGATCGTGGCCTTCCTTGGCAGCGAACAAAACCGCCAGTCTCTAGGTACCTCCGATAAACATTTCGGACCGCAGATCGACTTAAATTAAGTTGAGCACTCACGTTTCTTTGGCTGTGTCCGGCCTGAATAAGTGCCACAGCTTGGGCGGCGACTTCAGGTGAAGTATCTATAGATTATTGATAGAACCTCACCTTAATGTTAAGAATAAGTAATGTTTGTTGCAAAACCAAAGATATCAATCACTTTTTCAAGAATTAAATCCAAGTAAACCAATAAAACCAAGTTTTCTTAGTATTCGATTGATTGATATCAACAAACAGGATCCAAATTGTCTTTTGTTTCTTTAAATTCTGTGTTCGGAATTCAAAAAAAGACTATTGAATGAAATTGTGAATATGCCAGGTTCAAAACTGCATAAAAACTTTTTACTCGACCTAATATAAAATTTTAGCTAGGACCAAACGAAACTGAAAATACAAGGTGGGCCAATAGATGTGTCCAGAAGTGTATTATCATAATAGGTATTTATGATTATTGAATTTTAATGAAAAACTCAGAATTTTACTGTTTTTCATTTTTTTAACGATATTACTTAATGTTACAAAAAAGGTTTACTTAATATAATGACAAATAACCCATTTTTCGCTAGTAAGTACATACTTATTGGAATCCCTGTATTTATTAATCAGCTCGCGATAATATTGGTTTTGTAATAATTCTGCAAAATTCAAAGTAAATAATGTAGATTTTATAGGTAAATCACCCCTTTCATCACCCTACGTCTATAAGTATTGCGATGTTGTAGCTAAGAACCAAGTTCCCATCTACTTCTATATGGGAATTCATTAAATTCGATTTAGCTATTAGGGCACGGAAGCGCAACAAACAAACTCACTTTCGCATCTATAATATTATATTATACTTACTAGTGATCCACCCGGGCATTGTACGGGCGAAATTTATTTATCGGGATAAAATATAGCCTATGTCACTCGGACAAAATGTATTTAAATAAAGAAAAATGTTATAATAAATAATAGCTACCTTTGATGAATCAATATTTGAAACCGGTTCAGTAGTTTGACAGATTATTTGTTACAAACATACAAATCTTGCCTCTTTATAATATTAATTAAATATTTATAATTTAATAATAAAATAAGGTAAGTATTTAATTGATGAAAAGGATTTAAAAATAAAGTAAGTAATAGATTTATTTGATTATATTTGTAAAAGTTACTTAGAATTTGTGCTTAACAGTGATACGCTATTCGGTATTTTTATAACAAAAAAAAAAATTGGAAAATAATTGCCATGACTGCACTACTGGGAGTACTCTTCATTCGAGCTTTACACTACCAATAGAAAAGGGTCGAACACAAAGTATTTGACCTGTGAAATGTGAAAGCTTTAAAAGAAAAGTACAAAGAGAACTATAAATCTATATATATATATAAAAATGAAACCCGTTTTCCGTTGTCACGACATAACATGAAAACGGCTTGACCGATTTGGCTGTTTTTTTTTTGTAGTTTTCTAATACTCTGTACAAGGTTCTTACGGAAAAAAATATAAAGAAAATCCCAAGGGGATAAAATAAGGAATGAAAGTTTGTATGAAACTTTATCAATTTTAAACCGATCGGGCTGACACTTTGCATGCAGGTATAAGAAGAATCATAGATGAATGTCATTGTGTATAATACAAGCCTGAGAACAAAAACTGTAGTCTACACTTCAGCTCTACACCGAAGCGAAGCGAGGGCGGGCCGCTAGTTGATAATAAATGAGATTGCTATGGTGCTCTACCTAACGTTATGAAAATTTTATTATGCGCCTTTAGTTTAATTAAATATTATAAACTTTGCTTTGGTGATTGCATAATTATTTAATTTAGTCATCTAAGGCAGTTGCCACCATTGTCCAAAACAACAGATGGGAATTACTTCTTTCTTCAACCTGCGACATAAACGTCATTGATTGGTATTGTATATAGGGTGATTAAAAACATTTGAAGTTAACTTCTGGCATCTACATATTGGGTTTCCGTGAATTATGTAGGTATATCAAATTATGAGACTAAGGACTTTTGAATTTGTGTATATCACAATCTTAGACGTCCGGCATTGACATGACAATGCAGCCACTGCCAATTTTAAATAGTCGACGAATAAAAGTAAATTAATTTTATATTTACTGCTAAACTATTAAAAAAAACATAAACAAAAGATGACTTTTCGAGTAAGTGCTAGTTTACTATAAAATTTATATACATTAGAGATATTTATGTAACGACTTGATTTAACTTCACACATTTTTGCGAAAATTGAGGCCCATCTGTAGCCTTGACCCCGCTGGTAAAGTCTTTATATGTCTTAATAAATCAATCTTTTAGACCGACGCAAGGTACTTAATAATTCCCGCGATATTTTTTCCCTTACTGAAGTAACAAGACTTCGGTATATACCGTCTTAAAATACTAACTAAAAAGTGTGAAATAAAAAAGGTAAATTTAAAAAATAAAAAACCCGACTGCTTAATTATTCTTCAAATAAAAACTGAAAAGAAAAAAACAAGTCCAGTAGTCTATAATTCTGTTAATAAGGAACAAAGCTACTTTAACAGTCGGGACCCACTGTTGAAAAATATTAAGTATTCTTGAATATCTAATG